TGCTAGGAATGCTCTAGGCTTTGTTTATTCGGGAGGGTGCTTTTCCAAAAATTTTCTTGCATGTCCTCTTGACTTAGGTTCCCAGATTTGCACCAAAAATTGTTAACCTTTGGCTATTATGCCAGTGTTCCCGGCCACACACGGGGCCCCTTAGACAACGACAGGATTATCGTGAAAAAACAGAGACAGTCCTCTATCGTGGAACCCACCTTTGCAGTTTGGCCTGCGAGGGGTCCTCGGCGATAGAGTGTGCCTGGACAGAGGGACATAGACGCGGACTCGTCGGTGAGGAACGCATCATCATCACCACGGGGTTCATGCAAGAGATCACGTATGGTAAATCTGGGAGGTACCCAAAAAGTCGACTTTTTGGGTACCTGCTTTGGTGGTGATGGGTCTCAACTCTTGGGCAATGATATTTTTTATGGGGTGAAGGGTTCAGCATCACGGGGTTCATGCAAGAGATGACGTCCGATGGTAAATCTGGGAGGTAATCAAAAAGTCGACTTTTTGGGTACCTGCTTTGGTGGTGATGGGTTGGGTCACCGGGAGAAACCGATCGATTCAGCACAAGGCCGGGCGCGGAGTCGACTTTTTGGGTACCTGCCTTGGTGGTAATGGGTTGGGTCGCCGGGAGAAACCGATCGATTCAGCACAAGTCCGGGCGCCGATACGTGTGGCATTTGAATGTACCCTAGACCATGGGCAGCGCCCTGCGGCCCCACAGGCCGCAGAACCCAACGCGTCAAGGGGTTCATGCAAGAGCTGACGTCCGATGGTAAATCTGGGAGGTACCCAAAAAGTCGACTTTTTGGGTACATGCTTTGGTGGTGCTGGGTTGGGTCTAAACTCTTGGGCAATGATATCCTTAGAGATGACGTCCGATGGTAAACCTGGGAGGTACCCAAAAAGTCGACTTTTGAAAAAACAGAGACAGTCCTCTATCGTGGAACCCACCTTTGCAGTTTGGCCTGTGAGGGGTCCTCGGCGATAAAGTGTGCCTGGACAGCAGGATATAGACGCGGACTCGTCGGTGAGGAACGCATCATCATCACCACGGGGTTCATGCAAGAGATCACGTATGGTAAATCTGGGAGGTACCCAAAAAGTCGACTTTTTGGGTACCTGCTGGTGGTGATGGGTCTGAACTCTTAGGCAAAGAATCAATCACGACCCACTGCTGTCCCGCACACATCTCATCCTTGTTCTCCTTCACAGCCACCACTTCGGTCTGCCGCACAGTCCCCTTCCCTCCGGCCGTGAAACTAATGGGCAGCGCCCTGTCGCTCCACCCGCTTCGGATCTCCCGCGAACCCACTCTTCCAGCTCCGGTGTACCAGATCCTCTGTTGCCGCGCCTGTGCGACAGACCAATGCCCCTCATGCTGCCCCTGCTTCTTCCTGTCAACCTTGCCACCAAGCTCCGAGAACACATAGATTGCCCCGCAGCAGCTCCTGTTCCGCCCCGGCTGCAGCGCCGAGCCCTTCTGGCGAGACACGATGCTCCACGAAGCTTTGTCACAAAACATGCCCGTGGTGGTCACGAGCAACACAATCGTGGCCCTTGAATTGTACCCTATACCATGGGCAGCGCCCTGCGCCGCCGCATCCACACTCCTCGAGGTCTGCCCGCCGGGGAGCACGAAGCTCTCGCCACAGGCCACCACAGCAAATCCCTCCATTCTCGGCCATGTGCCCCACGACACACATAGAGCCACCCCAAACAGCTGCCGCCTGCCCTCCAAGACCGGATCCACGGAGTCCTCAGCCTACAGCTTTGCCTGCACCAACTGGTCCTCCAAGGTTCGACCGTTGGTCCAGTCCCTTCCCGCGAGCTGCCCCTGGACCATCAGCAACCATCGCAACCACACTTCTCCAGCCAAAAGTGCTGCCGGTAACTCCCAACTCACGCTCCGCCCGCGCTAGACCCGATCCTCGCACCCCGGCGCTCGCATCCCCTAGCTTCACTCCACACTCCACTACACATCCCTTGCGCGCCTCGTCCAGCTCCGGCAGCCGTCGGCTTCCGCCAGCCTGCCAAAGCACTGCGCGCCGGCGTTTTCCGCCCACGACCACTACACCGAGCAGTTTTCCGTGGCCTGCATAAGGGGACATACATGGGCAACGCAATCGCTGGCTGAAGCGACCTAGCGAACACCATGGGCAGCGCCCTTCTCCCCCAGGAAACGCATAACACAGACACCGGCTGCCTCTCACCCGACGACTTGGGTGATCCTGCATTTTGCTCCAGGGGTGCTCCAGGAAACCCTACCCTCCCCACATCCAGAGCAACGTCCTTCCTCCCACCGTGGAACCACCCGCTTCCACCCCCTTCGGCCCCCCCCCCCCCCGGCCTACCGCACTGCAGACATTCCGCCACGCGCGCGTGCCACCCGCATGTACATGGCTACGATCTCTTCCCTCGCTGGCGCGAGAACCTCGCCACCACCTGCCCAAGCTTCCGTTTGCGCTGCTCCGTCCTAGAACCAACACGCCACATGGCGCGGACACGGGCGCCTGACAGGCATGCGAAAATCTTACCAGAGCCTTTCACGTTACCACGGGCACTGGCCGGACCTCGTCCAGCGCAAAATCTAAACAAAGCCTAGAGCATTCCTAGGAAAATTCCAGGGCATTTGCCGGGAACACTAGAATCAAATAGGTTAACAATAGATTAATCAATTTTTTGGGAAATCTGGGAACCTAAACACAAGAGGAAGTCCTAGAAAATTCTACAACAATGGAAGAAAATAGGTTCGCAATTTTCTACGCAGACCTGGGAAATCCTACAACTCCCTTTTACAACAAGCCCCGGGTCCGGAAAGGTAAAAAAGTAAGGTCTGAGTCTAAGTCTAAGGCTAAGGCTATGGCTAAGGCTAGGCAAGGCTAAGGCTAAGGCTTAAGGCTAACATAGAGCAAGGCTAGCGCTAAGGTCCTATCCCTTGGGGGTCGGCGGCTGCAGGCGGTAGCCTGGTAAATATAATGTTGCCCACATTCATTGACCCTTTTTCAACCACCCCAATGTAGCTGTATAAGCACGGCATACATGGATGCTCTGGGAATGGAACCTCTCAACCGGCTTCACTGAACGCTCGGCCCCTCTCGCAGACCAGCCACTCGGACCAGCCGCCAGCGTTGCATGCACGGAGCCTGGAGCAAGAGTTCTGAACCCCAAAATGCCATGCTTGTTCATTTGGCTGGTTGGGTAGGATGGATAGGTTTGGTTGAAACTTGCTTTATGATTTGGGCGGAGTCACTGCAGGCAACTCAGGCAACTCCCATCAAAACAAAGAAACACGTCCATTATCTACAGCATGCCACAAACACGCTCATCT